CCCTTTTGATCTTATTCTCACTCTCACAGTACCTCTCATTCCTTCTCCCACCAACGTTCAGAGCGACTGTTTCTGTTACTCTTTCACTTTTTCACGACGTTTGTCCAGGACTCCATCTTTCCTCTTTCTCCGCCATTCTACTTCTCTGTTTCCCTTCTATTCCATCTCCACTCTTTCTCCCTCTCCCCCCTTCTCTTCTCCCTCTCCCCTTCTCATATTTTCTCTACTCAAGTCTCCACAGTTTCTGCTCTCTCCACTTCTATCTTTGCTCCCCTCCCCCACCTCCAAAACACACAGGAATTGAACAGAAAACGCAACCACTACCTCCAGCCAGAAAATCCAGATCATCTGTCGCCGCCATGTTCCCAGCATCCCCTTCTTCTTCCTCCTCCAGGAGTTGGGACAAAAAGAACGGATCGAGAGGCTGGAAGGCCGCGTCCTCCCCTGAGGAGGCGGGGCTAGAGTCTACGTGGGCGGGGCTTAAACTGTCTGCGTGGGAAGACGAGCTCCTGTCTAAACTATTATGCGACTCGCTGGCCCGTGCACGGCTGTTGTGAGCACCGATATCAGGCAAGTCAAGCTCGAGTTCACGCCCATTCTTTGACCCGAAAAAGTCAGAGGTAAGGTCAAACGGCACACGTTGATCTAATGGGGAAGAGAGATCGTTCCCAGACAGGAAATCTGAGGCCCATGGGTCTGGACTGTGCTCAGCGTCTGACGTGAGCTCGCTGTTGTCGCTAGATAACAAAGCCGCCAATAAGCTCTCAGAATTTAGAGGATGGGCGGGGCCAGTTGAAGCAATAGGGGCGGGGCCTCCATAAGATGGCTGGTAGGCGTGTGGACTCGTGTGGTGGGACGGGGGGTAGGCGTGGCGATCTCTGTGCAGAGAAGGCGGGTAGTACGAGTCCGATTGCTGAACAGACGAGAAGTGGTGGTCAGCACCGTGGGGTAGCGGGTGGAAAGTGTCCACCCGGTTGTCCAGGATGGAGCGTTGGTTCCGTGACAGACTGGCTGAGGGCTGTCCTGAGAGTCAACAAAACAGAATTGCCAGTCATTAATAAATTAGAAAAAGTCAACCCTCCCCCCCTTGTATTCTATCAAACAGAAGAATTGAAAGCCCAAAACAAATGAACCCCCCCCCC